TTCTCTGTTTTTGAAAAGTCAGTGAGGTGCTAACCTCTGACTTACCCCTGAGTTCTCAAACTCAACATTTGTTGCAACTTGTCTAAACCACTTCACCACATCATACACCTGATTGCTGCGTTGTGGAATAGTCTAAGCTACAACCCTTTGGCTCTGTTTCCTAAGACAGTGTGTTGTCTTAGTAAATTCATCCCTTCCTTGGGTGGCTAGATTCTCATATCTGGTGCACCCACCATTACAGATGGAAGCAGATTGTTTGCGCTATGTGAAGAATTGTGTGACATGTCGGCTTTCTCATACCAATGTTGTTACGATATCAAGTGCGCCTTGCAGCTCGAGTGGGGGTTCAGGGGTGTGGGGAGCTTTCCGGGGTTGGAGCGAAGTTTTCAGTTGTGGAGTGAATTCTCAGAACTAGTCTCGCTAAAGAGAATTCACTCCACAACAACATAGCTGTATATAGATCGAGCCACTGCTCGAGTGCTCCTCTTCTCTTTCCTTTCTTCTCTAGATTGGGTTTAATTCATAATACCCAACTGGCGCCCTATGCCTTGGTGAACCGTGACAAATGTCACCAAGCAACAAGGATTCCTACACCCGCTACCAGTACCCAAATACCCTATGCAACACCTAACGATGGACTTTAAAGAGTTTCCAAAGGACAAGCATGGATACGATAGTATCTTAGTGTTTATGGATCGACTCGGAAAGAGTTCGGTGACTATACCGTGCCATAAGACCACCAATGCCCGTCAAATGGCACAGTTGTTCATCGAATGGATATATCGATTCGGACACACTCCGGAGTTGATCATCAGCGACCGCGGACCACAGTTTGTCTCCTCCTTTTGGCAAGAGTTTTGCCGAATCATCGGCGTAAAGGTGAAGCTGTCAACTGCCTACCATAAGCAGACCGACAGACAGACAGAAATCATGAACTGATACATTGACCAGAGACTGAGGCCTTTTGTATCTTACTACGAAGACAACTGGAGTGAGCTCATTCCCATAATGTACCGAGTGCAAATGGCGTTGCCCCACGCATCCATTGGAATGACCCCCTACCGACTCAAGTACGGAACTGATCTGCGTACAAGTTGGGATTGGGACACCCCAAAATGCACCAACCCCCTGGAGACTCTGAACCAAAATGAAGCCAAAGCGGTTGCCGACCGAATGCATACTGCATGGGCTCACGCAAGGGAGAACATGGCAAAAGCACAAGAGGATACGTCTAAGCACGCGAACCGACGCCGAAGGGCCATCGACTGGGATGTAGGTGATAGAGTATACCTGTCAACCAAAAATCTGAAGAACTATCGCCCCAGCCGCAAGTTGGGCCAACAATGGGTCGGACCATATACGGTGCTTGAATGGGTCGGACATGCATTTTGAATAGAACTACCTACTGGTTCTCAAATACATGATGTTTTCTCACCTGACGTCCTTATTAAGGCTCTGAATGACCCTCTACTAGGGTAAGAACCACCTGAGCCTAGCAGCAAAATGATAAACGGCCAGGAGGAATGGCAAGTGAAAAAGATCCTTGCTGTGAGGCTCCGACGGAAGCAACTACAATACCAGGTTAGCTGGGTAGGATACGATCCGGACCCGGAGTGGTACCCAGCGACGAATTTCATGAACTCTCCTCATAAACTCAGAGAGTTTCATGCGGAACACCCAAAACTACCAGGACCACCGCGAGACTTACCCGGATGGGTTATGGCATGGGAGAGGGGAGAGCCCACCATGATCATGACACCCAGCCATAAGAGCCAGTAACGTGGCGAGGGAGCCTCCTTGCCTAGGTTTTTCAGAGAGCTGAAGGACGTGTAATCGTGCCAGATTGGGTCTTCCGGATCATAGATCATGGAAGGGACGACAAAGCAGGAAAAACAGAGTCGTTGCTACCTACGACCCTAAACTAATTACCCTCCGAGCCAGGGCGCACTCACCACCGCAACCCTTGCGGGAGCCACCCTTCCCAAATGTCTCACCGGCGTCGCAACAGATGGCTACCACCATGAGAGACGAAGGGTCGAAGCGACCCCACGTGAAGAGCCAGGCCCGAGTCCCTCCGACACAGGGTCCCCCCCCCCCCTTTTACCCCCCCCCCTTTTACCCCCCCCTTTTTACCCCCCCCCTTTTACCCCCCCCCCTTACTCCCCATACTCCGCACCAAAGGTGCCCTCCCCCTCTCCCTCCCCCTCCTTCCTCCGACCAGAGATGTATGGACACAGGGCACCCAGCTCACAGTAATAGCATATGAGAGTGCGAGTCGGAGGCTAAACGGATGCTATCCTATAGGTCTACTACAAAGGATACAAAAAAGATGAAGGGGGAACCCCGTGAGTCATTTCCCTCAAGTACCCGAAACCCCTCCAACTCAGTTAGCCCGCCCAAATGATCACACGTGACCCGCAGCTACTCAGAGTCTGCTCCTTGTCTGCTCCTTAGAGGACATCCTTACAAGAGCAGACTGGAACCATCGCGGCTGCGACGGCGACTGTAGGCAGCTTGCTGTTACGACGGAACAAGAAGGCTGGCCAACTACAGGACAGGAAGGAGGGAGGTCGCATGAGACCGGCCCTGGTACCTGGAGGGGCAGCGGGGAATAGTAGTTCCGAAAGTATCACGTGACGGACTCGCAGGATGATGAGAAGAGTCCTAAGAGTCCAGGACTCCGAGGACTCGAGTGAGTTCCCAGGAGTCCACTAGGCACGTGATGGACTCGCAGGATGATGAGAAGAGTCCTAAGAGTCCAGGACTCCGAGGACTCGAGTGAGTTCCCAAGAGTCCACTAGGCACGACGCCACTATATAAGTAGATAGTATTTCCTTAGATAGGAGCTTCGTGCTCAACTCAATACAGTATTTGTTATATACTAGTAACGTGTTACTTGAAGCCTTTGTGTCTGATCCCCTGCCTCCTCTGATAAGTAAACCTTTACGCAAGAGAACCTCTGTGTCTTCTATCGTTTAGAAGTCAGCGTTACACTTGCCCACGGCAGCCACCACTTCCTCCAAGAGCGCCGGCACGCTCTCCTGCTCCATCCGAAGACGGTGCAGAGACGACCAGATTTGCTAAACCGCGTCAGCACTGAAACAACACAGGGGAAGGGGTATACTCACGGCGAATTCCGCCTCGATGGCGGCGCGCGTGGCGCGAGCCTCATAAGAATCACGCTCTGACCCGGAGCGGAACTTGGGAACGCTCTAGGCGGCCACAAGGGCCACCCGATTTGCCTCCGCGGCAGCAGCCACGATGTTGGTGGCGACGACGGGGACGGCCGTTTCAGCGGCAATGAGGGCGCGGTACTCCTCATCGAGGAACCAGGGCAGCTATCCACCCGATGGTCAGCTACAACCAACCAACTGAACACCACAAGGAAACGCACCGAGATGCAGGGAGAGTGCTGGGCAGTGCAGTACTCGCACTTCGACGATGAGGGAGACCAGATGCAGGCATGTGCCTGGACTCCCCGAGCTTTGGCCTGAAGGCAACGCAGACAGAGGACGCGGAAAGCGACCGACAGGGCTCCGGCAGGAGGCGGGACCAGCATCTTCAAGTTGGGATCTATAATCCCGTCAGTCCAGCCCACGTTATCACCTGCGCGCCGAGCGTGTTCCCGTCACCTACTCATTCATGTGGAATTGTATATTCTAAACAATCAGTTAGTATACAGCTATATGAACAGAGGGGGCCACTTACCAGTTTCGGAGTGGCGGAGTTCGCTGGCGTTGTTGTTGTAAGGAAACAAACAAGAGGAAGTGGGTGAATGTCATACTGACATTCGTGTCATACTGACATTCGTTGCACTCAGTTTGCTATCAAACTCAAGAGCAAACTTAGAAATCTCCTCCTCAAACCTACAAGTCACTATACATATTTTGGCTTGTCACACCAACAACAAGAGCAATACTACTCAACGATTGCTACAACCCTCTATGATTCATTACACATCATCGCCCCTTAGTTACTGGGCCGATATTACCACATAGCATATCTCTACAACCCTCTATGATTCATTACATGACATCACTCCTTAGCTACTGGGCTAATACTACACATGACATATCTCTATCAACTAGAGGCCTAGGAACATGAACGATAGCTCCAAAAGCTTCTACAACCCTCTATGGTTCATTACATGTCATTGCTCCTTAGTTACCCACAAGATTGGTTAAGTTATGACATAATCTGTCTATAGGGGTACTCTGACCTTGGACCTCCTTTCACTTCCTATAGGCTAGGAACCTAGGAAATGGTTCTATGGGATTCTCTTACGTCGACTACAGTTACCAAGCCTGGTTAGTCATGGAAAGTCATGGAAAATGAGAGAACTACACTCCTTTAGCATAAATAGGATTGCCCTTTCCTTAAGAAAGGGCAAGCAGACAATACAGTAAATCGACTATCACATACTTCCACGTCTTTTCCAAGCTTCCAAGCATTGATCTTGTTACTCCTTGTTTCTGAAAAGTCAGTGAGGTGCTAACCTCTGACTTATCCCTTATCCCTGAGTTCTCAGACTCAACATTTGTTATAACTTGTCTAAACCACTCCACTACATCATACACCTGATTGCTGCATTGTGGAATAGTCTAAGCTACGACCCTTTGGCTCTGTTTCCTAAGACAGTGTGTTGTCTTAGTAAAATCATCCCTTCCTTGGGTGGCTAGATACTCACATCTGGTGCACCCACCATTACAACTGTCTTTATCTTTCACTCTTTCATCATCCATAATTATTCTACAGCCAACACAGCTAGAGAATCAGGTTGTTACAGGCGATATTGCAGATCCAAGGAATACATGCTTCTTGGAATATCGAGAACAACGTCGAGCGCAATCTCCCAGCCTGAACACCATAGCTGTTGATCTCATTCACTGCCACCTTTTGCAATATACACTCTCTTTATGGCCAATCTACCCTCACAACTTCCTCAACACCACGCCCAATGTGTAGGGCTTCACAATGGCTGAGTTGGAGTCCCTTCTGCCATGCCAGCAAACGTGGAGGAACAACGGCGACTCTATGAACTGCGGATTAAAAAGAAAAACATACATCGCCGCAAGCAATTAGCATCTTTACATGCTGGCAATAAGCTGCGCTTAGATTCTAGCTACAATTCTCAGTTTGAAAGTGAATCTGGTTCTGCTGAAACCGTGTCCTACCGGCGGAAGATAGCAGATTTTGGTAAAGCAGGTGTCAACCTATCAAACCACAGTGACGATACGAAGATTATGATAGTGAGGGCAGAGAAATTTTGGGCGCTGTAAGTCTTCATTATTGGTTAGCTATGCGCATGTAGACATCTTTGCTAACCCTTGCTTGGTAGGTTTTGGGTGAAGTTAAAGGGCGAGAAAGAAGCTGCCCCTGAGGATGAAGATCTCGATTTCGTACTTGGCGATAATCCATCAGAGGCCCTTGCTAAGGGTGAAGCACCCATTTTCAAGGCATACCTCTGCTGGCGATATGAAAACTCACGCATAACAAAAGAATCCTCCATCTAACATACTGGAAGACCCTCAGCATGGATATATGACTGACGACATTTTATTTGATATTCATAACGTAAGTTGCCCCTCTTAGTATTTAGCTGGACGATGCTAACTTTGAAACAGTGGATCCCGCAATATCTCGAGCTTGACACGTCCGAAAAGGAGAAGTACGCATTGTTTGTTGATGATCTATGCAATCTACAACATGGCAACTGGGTAAATGATACAGAGTTATATCCCCATGAATGACTCCGGGTACAAGAATCATTACTCATGGATTTTGGTGGCTGCACAAGCTCGAGGCCAAAAGCCCTTGTTGGGAAGCGTCCTCTGCTCTATTCAGATATCACATTTCATCTCTTTCCTTCTACGGTTAAAGGGAAACGGCCAATAATCGTCATGACTTTAAACCTCAAGCATATTAAAAGGTCTGGAGGGAAATCTAAGAAGTAAGTGGTACCTATGTGCAGGAGCCAAGCTGCGTTGCTTCTGCAATTTACTGATTTAAACAGGAAGAAGTTTACATTCTATGAAGGGGAAGACCTATCATGCTGTGCAGTCAGCTTTATGCTAGCACTTGCTCTTGCTGATAACGCGTTCAAAAACGAATTCAAATCTTATACTTACAATCTAGTTGTCCCTCTAGACGCTGACCGCATAACACTTGAATGGGACGACAAATGGGCAGAGCGGCCTATCTTCCATGACGTCGAGGTCACTGCTAATGGAGTCCGTATTTCTAAGACCAAACCTTTCCAGTATGCGAAGTATCAATATTACTTTGTTCCCCTTGGTCGGGTGATGGGATATGAGAAGGCGCTCAAGCTATATGGCCTACGGCGAGGTTCCGGGAAGGAGCTAAATGGTATGATATTAATCCTTTTGATCTCTATTCTTCTGGTAGTATTTGCTGTCCTATTTGCTAATATATGCTGTCATAGATGCACTGACCTCCGAGGAACGCAGACATATTATGGGCAATAGTGGGGATGTTTACGAGCGGTACTACATGCCAGACTTCATCAACAAAGACTGCCAAGGCATCTATCTAGGCACACCATGACGAGACGATCTCATACGAAGAGTCGGCCAGCTAGCTCGTCATGGGAGATGCCCTTCATGCCTTACAGATGAGCAGAAGCTTGAGATTAAAAATCATCCAGACATCGTCAAGGCAGCTGCTTTACGTAACACATATGGCTAAGAGATCAAGCTGAAGGGCTACACCACGATCAAGGCGGCTCAGGGAACGAAGTTGTTCGAGCAGCATAAAGAGGCTCAAGCTAATATAAACAATTTGAGATGCCAATTAAGCGATGCATTACTTGAGAAGACTATCAAAGAATTTCATATAAACGTCCACACGGAGGAGGTCACTCGACAAATGCAGGGTATCTTCCCTGCTGATGCTCTCACCTCCCCTCCAAAGAAGTACGAACTCAAGGAGCAAGCTGCAATTGTCAAAATGCTAGGCATGTCACTTAATGATTTAGATGAGGATCAGGTCATTGAACTATGGATCGCTTTCGTCGATAACCTGGCACTGATCTGCAACAGACAAGGATGCCCTCGCAAGTATAAGGGACTGAAGTTAGAGAAGCAACAGCCGGAACATCTCTCTGATGTCCAGAAGATGTATAAAAATAAGACGATTGCGAGTGTTCAGCAGATCTAAGGGCCAGAGTTGACATGTGATCTCTGTAAGTCGGACGAGGAGGCTGGACCAGCAAAGAAGACAAGGTGTTTAAACGCATTGATATCCTCTGTAAGCACATACAAACACAGCATCTTGACTTGGTGGCTTCAGATGCAAAAATTCATTGCCGTCGCGACGGATGTAGTGAAGTATTAACTGGTCGAATCAGTTATTTAAATCACACACATCACTGACACGGTTTATATCTTTAATATTTAAGGCTCCAAATGTCTCCTAATTATTATTATCTTGCAAAAATTGTTGAGTTTGTCAACAACTAAACTGTTGGAGGTAATTCCGGAATACAGAGAACTACACACAAATTTGTGTGGTAATCCCCGATAACCGTAATCAGTCTCTTCGGCAAATGGAGCAGAAGCTTCATAGTAGGTATGCAGATTAATTAAATTACTACCTAATCTATGGGCCTATGTACGCTATTTGTAGGCCTGTTCAGATTTCTTCGAGTCGAGTACTACTCAAGTAATTCCTCAAGTAGTACTCGCAACGAGTAGTTCTCGGGAAACACTGTTGGCTAGGCAATAAAAGAAATGATATACACGCTGCGCAACCAGCCCTCACTTGGGTGTGTGAATCTAGGCGTGAGCCAGCACACCCTGAAATTGAATATATGAGATTAATCGTACCATTGTGCCTATCTATCAGTCTGCCGCTGCAAATTCTAAAATATGGTATTTTTAATCTTTGCATTCCTTCTCTTTCCCGCCTGCTGGTTCTGTATCTTCTGGATTGCGTTTCCATTGAGATTTTGCGTCAACATCATTTGGCAACATATTTATAGGGATTGGAAACAAATTCATCTTGCCACTATTCAGTAAAATTCCATCAAAGTCAGGAGTGACCTACAATTTCTTTCTTGGATGGTGGAAAACATGGATTACCAGAAGATACATAAGTGTAGTAGCGCCCCTTCTGATAGATGATCAGGGCAACATCTGCGCCATATAATTCCCCATACTCATATACCTTATTGGTCAATGTGCTTCTCCTTCTAGAGGCATTCTGGCTTTGGCGTTTCCGTACGATGGTCATGTTGCGATAGAGTCTATTGGCCATATGATGTCTCTTATAATTTTGAAAGCTATAGTATATTACTCTGTGGAGCGGACAACGGTTGGGGAGATGGACGAGGGTTCACCACCTATTAAAGAGTCAGTGCACTCGGGGAACGCCACCTTTTTCACGTGATGAACGAACGGGCCACATTTGTGGACAAAATGTGACACGTTTACGGAGGTGTTGTTCATAAGTTTTGTGAGTGGGTCGTGGGATGACCGGGGTTGGGCATGGGTTGGAGCATGGGTATGCTGTCATACTGACATTCGTTGCACTCAGTTTGCTATCAAACTCAAGAGCAAACTTAGAAATCTCCTCCTCAAACCTACAAGTCACCATACATATCTTGGCTTATCACACCAACAACAGAAGCAATACTACTCAACGATTGCTGCAAACTCTTCTACTACATCTGTTTATGCTACATACATCACGGCATATCATTTGAACACTCATTGAACAAGTTATTAAGAAAATCTCCTCCTTAAGGGGGTGGGCCAATACTACCACATGGCATATATCTACCAACTAGAGGCCTAGGAACATGAACGATAGCTCTAGAAGCTTCTACAACCCTCTATGATTCATTAGACGTCATCGCTCCTTAGTTACCCACAAGATTGGTTAAGTTATGACATAATTTATCTATAGGTACTCTGACCTTGGACCTCCTTTTCACTTCCTATAGGCTAGGAACCCAAGAGATGGTTCTATGGGATTCTCTTACGTTCACTACATGATTAGCAAGCTAGTTGTGGGTCGCACTTGATTTCTAATACATTTACCAAGCCTGGTTAATCATGAAGTCATGGAAAATGAGAGAACTACACTCCTTTGGCATAAATAGGATTGCCCTTTCCTTAAGAAAGGGCAAGCAGGCAATACAGTAAATCGACTATCACATACTTCCACGTCTTTTACAAGCTTCCAAGCATTGATCTTGTTATTCTCTGTTTTTGAAAAGTCAGTGAGGTGCTAACCTCTGACTTACCCCTGAGTTCTCAGACTCAACATTTGTTGCAACTTGTCTAAACCACTTCACCACATCATACACCTGATTGCTGCGTTGTGGAATAGTCTAAGCTACAACCCTTTGGCTCTGTTTCCTAAGACAGTGTGTTGTCTTAGTAAATTCATCCCTTCCTTGGGTGGCTAGATTCTCATATCTGGTGCACCCACCATTACATATGCGTAGGCTTGTTTGTACCTTTTTAAGGCGTCAAAATTCCTACTATTGTATTTTATATGTAAGAAATTTATACTGTTTCAATAACTACAATGCCTCATCTTACTCGCGATGAGTGGCTTCATTGCGCACTAACGTAAGTGACGGTGTAATGCAGGGGACTGGGTAACGCGGTGGATTTACCCCACCAACTTCAGATAATTGTAAATAACTCAACAATGAATCGTCGTGAATACCTGGGTATTGCTGAACGTGAGACTTTAATAGCCCAAGCAGTATTACACATCAAATCTGGGAAGTATAAGAGCGCATATCACGCTGAGAAAGTGCTAGGGTTACCTAAGAGTTCTGTGATGCGTCGCGCCAATGGAGGTTTGACACGCTCTCAAGCCCATCAGCAACAGCAGAGTTTATCAAGCGTGCAAGAGACGATACTTCTGAAGTGGATTAAGAACCTAACAATTAGCGGTTATTCTCCTGGGCATCGGTTGTTAAAGGAAATAGCTGAAGAAATCCAGTCGCACCGATCACTCAATTTTGATGACGCGACACCAAACTCACTTCCACTCCAACCACGGTTTGCCCTTGGTTACCACTGGGTACAGCGATTCATAAAACGGCACCCCCATCTACAGGTTGTTATCGGACGACGGATTGAAACTGTATGCATGGATGGTGCAACAAAACCAGTGCTTACAGCATGGTTTGACGCGTACACCGAGGTGGTTCAACAGTTCAGAATCACACAAGAGAACACATATAACATGGATGAATCTGGATTTTCGATTGGGACAATGGAATCTACTTGAATTATACTTGATTCAACACTTCGTACAAAGCATCAAGCGCATCCTGGCCGTCAGGAATGGGTTACAATGGTCGAGTGCATCTGCGCAGACGGAACCATCCTTCCACCCCTTGGGATCTTTAAGGGCAAGAACGTTCTCCAATCATGGATTCCTCCTACAATCATCAACGAGTGGTTCTTCTCTGCGAATATGAAAGGCTGGACAAGCAATCTCCACAGGTTAGAGTGGTTAAAACGCATCTTCGAGCCAACAACACGCGCAAAAGCAGATGGTCAGCACCGGCTTCTTATATGCGACGGCCATGACTCACACATTAGTGGGAGTTTCATTGCACATTGCATGCAGAACCGTATTGTATTACTGATACTTCCCCCTCATATATTGCATTTGCTACAACCGCTAGATGTTGCGATATTCGGCCCACTAAAAAAGCGTCTAACGGCAGCGCTCTCCCCACTCAACCAAGCGCAACTTGCGTGCATACAGAAGTATGAATGGATGGAGGCATACATCCAGGCGCGGCTTGATGTATGCAACCATCAGAACATTTAGTCAGCATACCGTGGTGCTGGCTTGTTTCCGTTTAATCCCCAGCGAGCATTGCGTACGATGCTCAATGATGAGCCATCAGTCGAGGCTGAGCGACCAAAAACACCACATCAGTATGGTGTTTTTGACCAAGTCTTTAGTAACAGCTCCCCCCCTGATTACGCTCTGCAAATGCGCTCCTTACAACTACGATTAATGGTAGTGGGGTGCTGTCAACACCAGTGCGGACGTACATCCAAAAACTCACTGTTGCATCAGAGCAACTTAGAGCACGTAGCATTGTCCACCAACTCGATGCCAACAACTTGCGATCAGTTATGAAGCGACGTATGGTACGTACAAAGGGGAAAAGGGTTATTCTAAAGGGTCACTTTCATGTTTCTACGCAAGAATTGTGTGATGCAGTGATGGAGGCAGAAAAGGCGACGCATAGTGCAAGTAAGAAAAAGTGCAAAACAAAGGACAAGCACGCCTCATCAGACATTGAAATTGATGAGTATATTGAAGAGGATGCAGGGGAACAATCTAAGAGTGACAGTGGATCATGTATCATTGTTAATTGTAGTTAAATTTACAGTTTTGTTAGGTCGTCTTCAGAAATCCACCGCGTTACCCAGTCCCCCGCATTACACCGTCACTTACATTACTACGCTCCCTAGATTGGGAGTTCCAAAAAATTGCAGCCTATATTGGCTGCACGGAACGGCAGGCTTGGTATGCTTGCCAGGGCCCTCCAACTCTGAAGAAGCGTTCGGGTAGGCCACTTATTCTATCCGATGAGCAAGTTCAAGAGGTTATTGAGTTTACTGTAAGGATGCCTCCTTACCTAGATACTCGAAGAACCTGTCTCAGAACTGTTATGGTCACTACAAGCATGAAATCCGACTCGGTGTGGTTTCGAACCAGTAGAGGAGCACATAGCGAGTTACACTATAGTGGGGGATGGTAAGGGTGTAGGGTTCAGGGTCGATGTTGACCTGTTGCGGTGGAAGGATCAGGGCTAGGGTTGGGATAACCGAGTCAGGCCCGTTTCAGGTACTCAAGGAAACAGACTCAACGGGGTTCCCCTTTCATCTTTTTTGTATCCTTCATAGTAGACCTATAGGATAGCATCCATTTAGCCTCCAACTCGCACTCTCATATGCTATTACTGTGAGCTGGGTGCCCTGTGTCCTTACATTTATAGCCTCATCTCGCACGAATAGGCGTATGCCATATACAAATATAATACAAATTCTTAATATTCCATGCTCACGGCTTGTACTAACCCGTGCTCTGTCTGTGAGAGGCTATAATCGACGTGAGTATCCCTCTCTACTTTACTACTATATAGACTAATAATTATTAAGGGATTGCTATGCGAAAGCCTATTATCTCAGAGACAAATCGACAAAAGCGACTTGCATGGGCTATTGAACATAAGGATTGGGTACGGAATGATTGGAATAGGATACTTTGGACTGATGAGACATGGGTAACGGGAGGCCGCCATACTCGTACGTGGGTTACTCGAAAAGCAGGGGAAATGTGGGATGATACGTGTGTTGTAGATAGAGTACAACGGAGAAGGTGAGAGACTCCTATTTACTATAGGATTTACTAACAATCCCTAGAGGTTGGATGTTCTGGGGCTGCTTCTCAGGTAGTCTTGGAAAGGGTCCTATACTATTTTGGGAGAAGAAATATGGGAAAATAGGAGCTGAGTCCTATATGGCTCATACTGTCCCTCTGATCCACGGCTGGCTACGCCTACACCCAGGCCTTACATTGATGCAAGATGGAGCTCCAGGTCATAGAGCAGGTGCAACATACGAAGAGTTGGGATCCCGTGGTATTTACCCTATATAATGGCCCCCATACTCACCAGATCTCAACCCAATTGAACGGGTGTGGCATATTATGAAGAATTATCTACAAGATAATCATCCAGAACATATGTCCTACGACCAGCTCCATGTAGCTGTTAAGGAAGCATGGGAGCAAGTTGGAGAAGCTGAGCTTAATGCTCTCCTTAATAGCATGCCTACACATATGGCAGCAGTAATTGCTGCAAATGGTATGCACACAGAGTACTAGGCTTATAGTATAGTTTTATATAGGGGTTTAGGTATCTACTCTACTCATCATTCTACAGAATTGATTGCTCTCACACTCGAGTGTTCGTGACGTGTGAGAATTGGTACTTTGGCCAGAATTGCCAAGCCAGCATATGCAGGGGGCCCTAGCCCGACCCACTCACAAAACTTATGAACAACACCTCCGTAGATCGTAGCACGCTGCCGGGAAGATGCAACGCAGTGCAACAGACACTCAAGAGACATACGAGATTGTTAGAGCATTCGCGTTCTCAGCGGATGGTTCGAAGCTGGTGTCGTTTTGAAGGGAGTTAGCTAAACTAGCAAAGTTCCCAGGGTTACGAGCGTCATGGTAACGCCATGACATCTGGATATTTACGAAGAACAAGGGAATTCATGGAAGATAAAACCCATACAATTAACAAATAATTCTATTCGTCATCAGATCTAGAGTCTCTGCCCTTTAACTCATTACAATAGCGTACTTGAAGCGATCCAATGCTCCTCTCCCTCCCCGGGAAAGCACTGTTAAAAGCGAGATGTATCTCTTTCCACGGCAACCCTTTGATCTTGAGGCACACCAGCTTATCGTCTTCTCGCTCCTCATATCCGAGGCGCCCACGCTTTCTCTGCTTCTGACTGAATCTAGAAGATCTAGCAGCCACCTGAACTCTAGGTTGTAAGTCGTCTCTCATCCGATCCTCAAAAGCCCTGAAGAGGATATTCTTGGTAGTCTGCGCCTAGAATTGACTCCGCATCGTCTGGTGAACTCTGAGAAACTGTAGAACCTCGAGTAGTGCAGGTCTGGGCTTGGGCTGTAGTGGACGAGTGCATGTGGACCTTCTTGCGCGTGGCAGTTCCAGTTGCGTCAGACTGTATGTAGCGCCGCTTTCGTCGTATTGGAGGCCACACATCCTCGTCCTCATCATTTTTATGATCCTCATTGTCCTCATTGCCTTATGATATGATTTGACTCTGTGTTCACAGTCTTGTGAGAGAGGGGCCACAACTATGTTCTCGTCTTCCACGCATTGGTTCCGAAGGCTCTCCTTTATTGCTGGCAGTAGCTAATCGCCTCTATGTCGTCCTCGTCTTCGTCTTCTTGCTCTTTTTGTCAGCAATGCTGCTGTTCAATCGTCTTTTCCCACAATCGTTCTTTGCTCAAAATACCTCCAACGTCTGTATTATTTTGACTTTCCTAGCCCATCTGATTGTATTGGGAGTGAGCTGGGCTTGAAGGCAGCGATCCCCCCTCTTCTGACGGCCTTCGAGAGGAATCTCCACTTCGATCTCTAATCGGCTCTTCTCTCAAAGACCAGCCTAATCGTTGGTTCTCAAACCACCGCCTGGAGGCGGTTGGCGAAAGCGAACTGGGACGCGAAAGCGATTGTGGGACACTTCGGGAGCGGACTCGCGACGCGACACGACCGACCATGAACACGACTGACAACGTAACAATGCTGTAAATATATATAAGTTATAGAATTAAATAATTAAAAAAGATTTGGATCAATATTGTCAGGCAGTGATTGATCATCACAGCCACCGTCACTTGCATCGTGAATCATGTCGTAGTCCAAGCCTGCAAAGTTCACGTACCCACTCTCCTCGATGGCTAACAGTCGGTCCGCCTCCTCCTCCTCCTCACGTTTCTTCTGTGTAACGTCCGGGTCAATGATTTCTGTACGTAAGCCAATTGGTGGCTCCGTGTCTGGGTTACTTTTTTGAAATTCATGTAGGTCCTTTTTCCGTGTACGTTCTGCCTTCCGTGCATCGATGCCAGCACGGAGCTGCATCTTACGCTCAACGTTCACCATGCGTGTTCTCTCTCTTTTCTCCCGTGCTTCTTCTAAAAGTTGCTCCTTTACCTTCTTCTCATAAATCCTTTGCCGTGCATGTTCAACTGTAATAGCACCACCTTTTTGAATAGATTTCCGACTTCTAACCTTCCGCTGTCGTTGCTCAGTCATAATAGTAGTAATTTGTACAAGCTCTGACTGGAACAGCTCAGCCTCTGTTAACTGAGTTTGGATTTCAGTATAAGAAGACGCCCACTTTTGCCGTGACGGTGAACTAAGGATCTTATCAAATGTTTGACTCCATGTTGAAAGATCATAACTTGCTTGAAATGCGCGTTGTGGTGTTTCTAAAACTTCTGGTTTTGCATATATAGCAACCTTCTCTTGAATCTTTTCATAGTTAGGTGGCCAAATACCTGCATCTCTAAAAGACTTGATACAGTTACCCTTTGTAAATGTCTGCTTACGGATAGTAGACAAGTCTCTAAAGAAAGATATAACATTATAATCTGTATCAAAATTCTGGATTGCTTGTTGAATTGCACGTCGGTGCCAATGTTTATATTGTGCAAACACAGTAACATCTAGCGGTTGTAGAATATGCGTAAGATGAGACGGAAACACATGTAAGTGTATATTGTGTTGATGTGCAAGTATTATAAACTCTGGAACTTCATGTGAGACATGAGAGTCCATTATTAACAATTTCGTTCTTATAGATGGTGTATGTTGAATAAAATGCTGTAGATATTCCATTGCAAGCTCAGAGTTTGTATATCCGGAATCGGATACTGCAACTTTCTCATCACCGTGTAGATTGTCATGGTACCAACTTTCCATGTGTAATTTTCCTTGTATAATAAGGAATGGTGGAAGTGCAATGCCAGCAGCTGAAATTGTCTCTATAACTGTAAGACTTTTTCTGTTCTCTGGAGCTTGTATATAAAGCTATAAATATTAGAATAATATAAAGTAAGATAAGTAGAAACAACTTACCTCCTTTACTGCAGATGGTACCAACACATGTTCACCGGTGCTCATTCCTACACGGAATCCAACTTCATCAAAGTTGTAGATATCACCTGCAGTAATATCTAGTTGATTACACACATCTTTAAATTCATAAAACCATTCTTTAATAGCTGATACTTCATGAGATGCAACCCGTGCTGCTTCAATTGGCCGGGTTTTTATTGTATGGAAGTTGTGTTGTTGTGTCTTAATCCATGTCTGGAACCACCGTTGTGATGGTGGTGCACGTGTTGGAGTTTCTGCTGCACGTAGTTGGCAGATGGCACTGAACACCATAGGCTTAGTTGCACCGTACCCATTTTCGTACGAGCGTTGGATGTATCTTTGTATAGCTGTAACTTGTACATCAGACAGTACTCTGTTCTGGCCTCCGCGTGGCACAGCGGTGCGTTGTGGTGATGCGCGTCGTTGTCGTAGTCGTATAGTCCGGAGTGTACTTGGGTTTACTCTGTACATCCGTGCTACTGTAGCACTCTTCTCTGTTGGGTTTTCATTTAAAAATTCAATGGGATTTAAAAGAGCTTCATTTTTATTTACTTCAACTACCGGCATAGTTGTGGTTGTAGTTGTGCTCGTTGTCGGTCATGTTCATGGTCGGTCGCGTCGCGTCGTGAGTCCGCTCCCGAAGTGTCCCACAATCGCTTTCGCGTCCCAGTTCGCTTTCGCCAACCGCCTCCAGGCGGTGGTTTGAGAACCAACGATTAGACTGAGGCAGAGGTCGCTGCCAGTCAGTGCCTGTAACTCGCAGCGTCGCAAAATGTGCCGCACGGCGGTCTACGCAAGGGCCGGCCACGTCACCGCGAGGCATTTTTGCGATTGGCTAGGTCGTCGCGCAAGGCACTCTCGAGGCAGATTGTGCATAACACAGTCGCAAGAGGCTTCAGGTGTGTGCGGCGACGAGGAAGGGCGCAAGAGAGGCAGGTCGAGCGGAACGCAGCTCAGCTCGTTCTCGCAACTTGACGATCCGACGACCAGACGTCGATGCTCGAAGAGCTCGTTGCGCAAAGAGCTCGGTGGCATGGAAGGCGCATCGGAGGGCGTAAATCGAGGTTGTGGCTCTGCGAATGCGTTCATGTGCCACTGCGGGTTTTCAGTTGAAAGCGGCGGCAGGCACGTGCACGCGCGTTGCCTGATTAAGGCGGGCGCTAAACCCGAAGCTCGAACACCACAATCTAGATTATAGAATAGAGCTGCTGAATTTAGCAGGGCGCAGTTGCTGCTTTACACTCTACCACTCGCTAAATCCTCGATCCGCAGACACGTGATTACAGCCTTCAAGGTCCCCGTTCCTGTTTAGGAAATCTGTATCGCTGAGCGGCACCCAGAGCGCGAGCGATGGGGTGCGTGCACAGTTACGAACAAGGATAGAAACCCCGCGCACCGAATCTTCTTCAAGAACGTCATGACACCTACTTCAGTACATCAAGTACAAATATCACAGTGATGACAATGGGTAAAGAACATCAACAGGTATTCGGCATCAAGGAACTGTACCGCCCAACGCAAGAACCCGAGGTCGAGTCAGCGGTCCCGACAGACCTCCCACATGTTAATGAATCAGGCTGACGGACCTCGTCTCTGTAGTATTGTGGCAGTTCATGGCCTCAACGGCGACAATATCAAATCGTGGACGTCTAAGGCCAAAGATAGCTGCTGGCTAAATCATCCGAACTTCCTACCGAAGTACATAAACCGAGGTCGAGTGCTCACGTGGGGATACAATGCCAATATTTCTACGCTGATGGGGAAGACCACGAGCTCTGATCGGATCCTGCAGCATGCCCAGACTCTTATTGCTGAGCTACATGCAGATAGAGATGTGCGTTCGCCTTTAGATTCATTCTATTTGTCATTCTGCTAGAAGAGAATGCATTTACAAGTTCACTGATCCTCAACAGCTGGAAGATGCCAATGAAAGACCCATCATTTTTCTGTGTCACTCTATGGGCGGGATTGTGGTGAAGCGGGCATGTATACCCCAGTTTCTGTTCCTATCATTGTCTTTCGGTTACTCCTAGCTGAACCTCTGTCACAGGCTCTGGCATATTCAGCTAGTCGAAGTGCTGCAAACATATCGCATCTCCAATCCATTTACAACTGCACCTTCGCCATTCTGTTTTTTGGAACTCCACACAACGGCTCCAGTAAAGCTCGTCTTCTGAGTAGCCTGACCAAGATTGCGTCTCTCGCACTGCCTAATGCCGCTGGGCAAATTGAGTCAGGCCTTGTGAACGCACTTAAAGAAGAGTCCGAAACACTACAAGACATCACAGACCAATTCTCACCGCTGATCTCGAGATTTCGAATCTTCTTTTTCTGGGAACAAGAAAAGATGGATCTTAAGTACACCAAGGACTACATTGTCGAGGAGTCGAGTGCAGCGCCGATCCTAGACAATACTGAAAGATGTGGCATTGCTGCGGATCACAGAGAGATGATCAGGTTTGATAACAGCACGTCACAGGGCTTTCGGACTGTCATGGCTGCTCTAAGGAGGTACACTCGCGAAGCCCCACAGGTGATAGGGACAAGGTTGAACATCGCAGCAGAGATGTTGAGTGCCAGTCGACAGAACGAGGCTATGGAGCTGATGAAAACCGTTCAGCCATCCGTTACTTATCATATATCACGCCATGATACAAGTGATAATGGAGCAGCTACACAGCATTCAACAACTTACCCTGACGTATCCACATTCGGAGCTCTAATGCCTATGGAACCTCCCCTACACCGCGAAGGCTTGCTACTTGAAGATTCGGGTCGACGTGATTCGTTTCTGGAAGACTTTCAGTGTTGTGCAATTCTTAAAACGGAGGTGGACAAGAAGGCTGAGGATAGACCAAGTGATAAAGATACTGATGGCGCAGACAGTGCAATGAAAGATGAAAGTGAAGATGGCCTTAGGGTTGGACTTAATAGAAGATGGAATAGATGGAATTGGGGCAGATCGCGGGAATAAGGAACAGAATGGAAAGTTCATTCGCCCAGCACTGAAGTTGGTAAGCTCTTTTCGAGGCTCTGCAAGGAGGAATTGATGTTAATATCACATAGCGTACATCGTAACGTTAATTGACGTACAGACTTCTTCAGGGCATTAAACATGCATACGAAAGGACTGAGTGCGGCAGCTCATTTCATTGCAGTCTTCTAAAATACATCACGTGGCTGACTAGGAGCTCTACCATCATCATCAGCGCCATATAGCAATGAAAACTGACTACTCCGCGTTCCACGGTCCATCGTCAATCCTGGTACTCTGCTCTTGAGTGTCAAGATGTCATCATTACGTCCTTGCTCTCGATATATTTCAAGAAGCGTCTCTGCAGTCCCAAGTGATCGCGGGTCATCCAATAGTATGATCTTTTGCTTCAAAATGACATCGAGAACTTTGTTGCAGTCATCTTCTGTCTCCTTTATTCGACCAATCTTGGTCCTGACATGGATATAACCACACATCAAGCCTATCCAGTGGGGGTGTGCGGGATCAGCAGTACTGGCCAACCTGCGCAGGGTTCCCTCGGCGTCATCCCATCGTTTGTTCAACGAATATGCCCGTGCTAGATTGCCACGAGTCATACTCATTCCAACATGATCCTCTCCCAACGTTCGTATAACGGTTGGAATGATCTCTTCCAACATGGAAACTGCTGTCGCTGAACGACCTCGGTCACACAAAATCTTGGAATATTCGTTCACAGACCACAAGGTATATGCATGCTCTTCGCCAAGAGTCCTCTTTCGAGCTTCGAGGACGTTTGCTATCAGGCGTTCGGCAATATCCATCCGACCAAGTGCACGAAAACTTGTGCCAAGCTCATTTCTCGCCATCAATGTGTCAGGGTGGTCAGAGCCAAAGAAGCGTTTCCGCTTTTGGAGGACAAGGACCAGATATCGGTGGCTTCTCTCATAGTCTCTCAAATGATGCAAGGTACGACCAAGATTGAACATAGCAGTTAGGGTCGCTGGATCGTCTGGGCCACGATGTTTTAGGAATCCTTTAACGGCATGTTCGCCTGCTCGCTTCGATAGATTATTCTTTCCAGCGAGCCACAGACTTTGGGTGATATCACTCAGTGCAGTGCAGTACTCTATATGATCTGGTTTCCATGGAGGCCATGACATCCAGTCTGCCAGCGACGGGCGCTTGAACAGCCGGGATCTCATGATGTTGACTTGGATTTCAATACAAGGCTCTACTTGAAAAAGATTCCAATATATGTGTCCAAGATTTCGTTTGGCCTGGAAGGTGTCTTCGTGTCGCCAGCCCAGCTTTTTCATTCTCAAATCAATGACCTTGAGTTGCAGACCTCGAGCCTGCATCCAAAGCCCATTCTCGGCATACACGGAGGCAAATTTGTCCATCTCTGTTGCTTGTTTGGTGGTTTCTGGGAACGACGGAAACAGCACATTCAGAGCCCTAAGACAAGAGTCTATATGAGGTAGTGACTCACGACGAAACTTTCGCCCCGAAGCTTCAAGGTGCGGGGATATGCATTGGGCGAGGACTGCTGCTGTGCAACCCAGCCATCGTTTGTATTCTGCAGGATCAAGCCTACTCCTGGTCCATGCATGAACGACTGGATGCAAAGAGCAGATGCTTCGATCAACATCGTGGTCAATGATCGAGTAATCACCAAGTACCCGAAATGCTCCGCGAACACGAGCATGAGCCTCCTCGTTCAACATCGATCGATTCTGGAGGATGTCCGGATAATCTGCTAGGTCTGTCTCAGTTCCGTTGATCGAATTCCAGAATGTTTGAAAGATGCTCTCTGGTATTGACTCAAAATGCATGAAGGCAAATATGTGCAGGATATCAACAGCGTCCTTGTACTCGAGAGATCGAGATGCGCGGGCCACGATCTTTCGAAAAGGAATCTCCCAAGTGGTGACAATATTTCCTTCGTCTGCATTTTTTATCTGAGGAGATCCGATCATGGTTCTGCGCCAGCCAAGGTAGTAATGGAGGTATTTGTCTAAGGTATAGATGTTGCGTCGAATTGTTGCGCCGGCATGTCTCAATGCGAGCGCCAGATATCCCAGCTCTAAGGCAATATCTTCAGCCAGTTTCCTAGACTGAACGTTCAAACCATCTGCCTCCTTTGGCAGATGTGCATATCTTAGTAGAAGCGCGATAGCTTCCTCGGGATCCATGCCTCGAAATTGGAAGTTGCCAACCGTGGCATAGTCGATGATTCCTGGGTTCCTTGTTGTGATCAGAACATGGCCATTCCCACTCCTAGGGATGTATTTCGTTACTTCCATATCAGGGTCGTCAGCATTGTCAATGACGAGAAGCCAGGACTTCGAGCAGGTGGATAGCCAGTGCATGCCGGCGGCAAATGTTGGTCCTTTCCCAGCCTGTAGGCCCAACGAGGCGAATCCAGATTCAGCGTTTTCCTCGCTGCTGGCGTCTATCCAAAACACTCCCCAGTATCTATAGCCTGAAGTCAGTTCAAGTCCCAGGAAAGACTAAAAGGATAAAACTTTGGAATGCCATACGCTGGTCTGTTCTCCTCGACATATTTCAGACAAAATTCTGTCTTTCCGGAGCCCCCCAATCCATGCACTACGAAGATTTTCTGATTTGATCTCCTTGACCCATCGAACAAGTCACTCCCGGACCGATTCAGAGAGGCAAAAGGGTTCGCAAACCTTTCTTTTAAGACTTTAGCATACGCTCTCCTTCCCGTGAAGTAATTGGTAGAGCAGCGAGGAGCGGTATAGAACTCGTTGAGCTTGGACGACTTTGCCTCGATCGTAGACGAACGCCGCAAAAATTGAGTTACTGTAAGAGCTTCTGCTTCGGCTCTTCGCTCTTTGGCAAGTAGCTTCTCATCGTTCCTCCACCTTGATTGAATGGCTCCTGGGCCAGCTTTGATGAATCGACGAATAGTCGCAAGTATCACTCGATATCCAGCATCTGCAGAGCTGCTGAACTTAACCATTCCTGAGTGCGTAGCCATAATTCCAGATCTATCGACGTTGTCTTGAGCTGGAGCAGCAGAGTGCTCATCCACAATATAGATCTTCCCCATTGCGGTGCTTGTTTCAGTCTGCTCCCAGAAGTAGTATATTGAGAAATTCTTCATCAATGGGGCGAACTGGTCTGCGATATCTCGAAGTACTTCCGACTGCTTTCGAAGACCGAGTTGAAACTGATTTGGCCCTGTGATTTTGCTTTTCCATGGACCTTGAACCTGGATAGCTTCTTTGCTCATTCCGTTATGTGGTGTTCCCATGAAAATAATCCCATATGTCGAGACGTATATGGATCGTCTGTGTTCAACATGTTTGGATCGGCTCGTGCTGGAAAATGCCAGCGCCCGTTTGACCAATATGCCACCAAAGCCATGGCAGATGAAAATTATCGGTCGCTCCGACGCATTTGAAAGCTCCCGTTCTGCGCAGAGTGCTGCAATCAAAGTGGTAGCATATGGCAAGGTTCGATCCGCAGTGCTATCTCGTGAAGAGCTCAAATTCTCGGCTTCGTATCCATATGCTAAAATCCTCACGTTGAGTTGTTTGTATGGAAATAGGTCTCGCAGCCAGAGGATATTCGTCCTGGGATCGGTCCATGTGTCTAGCTTGGCTTCGTCGAGACCGTGGACAGCGACTATGCTGTTTTCATGCGTGAGAAATACGTCCCTTGAATAGAATGTTACAGGATGAGGCGCATACATACTCAACTGATGACGCACTTGGCGATGCACCTAGCGGATTTTCATTGCTCAGCACCGTGATACTCATAGCAAGGAGCTCGAGAAAATCATTTTCATTTGATGAGGTCTGATATAGGAGAATTGATCTGAAGGCAGACCTTCACGTTCACGGAGATGTAGAGTCGCAAGGCTGCAACGACAGTGGATCGATCCCTTACACCTGGGAACTTTCGACTCGGAGTCTGTGGCAGACATGCCAACAGCGGAAGAAAGACACAGGCTTCGTCAGTGCTCTAATTCCAACCTGTAGCTCTCCAGATCCCATGCTGGCTGTTAGCCATGTCCAATGAGAGTTGAACTCGGGGAGTATCTTTCAAATCCCGCGCCATACGGATTACCCATGTAAGACTGGTGTGCATGTGTGACGGTGTCCTCGGCCGAAATAGGAAGAAAGCTGCTACGTTGGAGGGGGGGTCAAGCATCTTATAAGCATGTGCCCCGTGCGAAGGACCTATCAGCCCACTCTGGCGTTATTTGCAGCCATCTTACAGCATGCTGCAGCTACGGACTGTGTCAGCTGGTACCTGGGCGCTAAGCCCCATGTAGAACGGAAGTTCTAAAGCTCGGTCCAGTTCGACCAATGACATGCATGGGCGCTTAAAAGAAAAATGAAACCAACTTGCGTCTTCTTCGTTACAGGAGTTATCTATTATAGTAAAAGTGTTCTATCCCCCCTGAATGATTGTAAAGACCCGCTATTTTGAAGTTTGTGGAAACCCACTTATAGCGATCGGTTTAGGTAAAAAGGCGTAAATAAGATGAGATCACTGGCAGAGGCCTTTTGACAAAATAGTGGATGGTGACAATCATTCAGGGGGGGGGATAGTAGAGATTACATCAATATAAAGAGCGACCTTATGTACACAATGCATCGACGACCCGATCTATATGGCATGGATGCCGAGCTCTTCCGTCCTGAAAGATGGGACGAGCAGATGGCGTTGAGCCAGAACGAGACAGATTCGAAATGGGGGTATTTGCCTTTCAATGGTGGGCCAAGGATATGTCTCGGAAGTAAGTATCTACCGTTCTTCTAGTTTTCTACTCTCGAGACGGACATTGATTCTTATGCGCTGCGATAGTGGACTTTGCGCTCACTGAAGCGGCGTACACCATTGTAAGGATTATACAGAAGTTTCCAACGATTAAATTGCCTGAGGGTGAGCCTGTAGAGCTGGTGGGAGTTGAAAAGCAGAAAATTACGATGGTAATGTCCATAACAGGCGGGTGTAATGTTGAGCTGCGACAATAGACATCTACAAAATTCCCTGATATTCACTGTCATCCTTCAAGGTTTCTAGTAGCAACACAGGTGCATTCTCGATCGCTACACCTCAGCTGGTGTTTCACTTCTCGATCGTAGTCCTCTCGCTCCCAGCCTCATACGCTTTGCTCCAATGACTATACACACAAATGTGGTATGACATGTCAGTAAGAGAGGCGGTTAATAGCCAGGGCGCAACGCACCAATGAAAACGCATGACCACGAAGCTTTGGGATGAGGGCGGCTATGTATGCACATCGCGGCGTGTGTGATGAGATAGTGCTGCACGGTGATATGAGTATGCGATCCAGTTCTATCGATCCATTGGCCCGCAGATGCACAGTTGGACGTAGTTGGAAGCAACGTCCAACTCCGTCCAAAATCTACCAGGATGCTATTCGCAGATGTCCCTCGGCTCTTCTAAGATAAGAAATCCAACATTCTTAGGTAAGTTCGACAACGCATTACTTCTCGAGAGAACAACTCAGAGATATCGAAATCACGCATAAGCCCCGCGGGATATCCAACATAGCGGGGTAAACAGACCATGCTGAAAGCTTTGATGTCATAGCGTGCAGCAACAGTTCGAATATGCAAATATTCTACCAAACGTTATCTCCTATGCGACATATTATTCCTCTCCTATCATAAGTCCATCAACCAGAATAGATAAGAGTCGAGAGACAGAGAAGTATATCAGTTTACGTTTGCGCTTTCAAGTTTGGTTCCTCATCGTCAACGAAGAGTTCAGCCTGTGAGAGGTAAGAATTCCAAGGCCCCTCTGCCTCGAAGTCAACCCCTGACTGACCAAATAAGACAGTCTGAACGAAACACTACACAAACATCATATCATCTCTTTTTAACGCTTCTCCATGCAGCTCACCGTCACCTTCGAGTCATCCATCACCGACGAACAAGTTACCTGGGTCAAGGAAAGCCTCGCCGAAGCAGGCGTCCCAGCAGAGGATAAATCGCGCACGGAAACATCGGTCACCTTCATCGATCCAAGCACAGTGACGTGCCAGATAGCTGGTGATCTGTGCCGAAAATGGGTCGACGAGTGTAAGAGAGCCTTGGTAGAACAGGGCAGCGGGAAGTCACGTTATGGATAGTTACATAGTAAGGCCCTCTATTGATACGAAGACTGAACGCTGACCCTCCTCCGAAGGTCTGCGTTCCTACTATATACGATTCCGGGCGGGGTTCGGAGTGAAGACCTGTTGTAATATGTCACATGATCTCAGCACCACTTCCCCGCAATTTCAGGCAGCAATAGATAGACAGGAATACACACGCATATTACTCAACAGTTATGAGCCCGGAGCAACTCCAAGACGCATTTTGAAGCCTATAGAAACCCGAACGGACCAAAATCAAGTCCTGTGTCCTGGAGTCGAAAAAACCATCATTATGGCGACCCTACAGAAGGCGGGGGTGGTCCTCACAAGCCCTAGAGACTGGGACGAGTGGATAGAGACTATCAAAACTGCTTCAATGAAGGCAGGAGTATGGGGGTATATCGATCCATCAATCGAGGACCCTCCTACACTCCTACAGCCCGTTCGACCTATTCCTGAGTTCGTACGGAGTGCCACGCAAGCTGGTGGTGGTGTTACTGCTCAAACAAGACCTGGAGTGTCAACAAGAGCTTCAGGTAGCCAGACCATCCAACCTTCAGTAGAAGGCCAACAGCAATTAACGCCAATTACGTACGCATCTCTTACAGAAGATCAGAAGGAACAGCTTCAAAACCTACAAGCTGATTTCCAATATGAGCGCAAGGTGTGGGAAAAGCAGGAGGAAGCAATTCAGGGGCTTCGCTCTAAGATCCAAGAAACCATCAAACGCGACTTCCTACCCTATACTGTAACGCTGACTTCTAACGATAGAAGACACAGAGGTTCTCTTGCGTAAAGGTTTACTTATCAGAGGAGGCAGGGGATCAGACACAAAGGCTTCAAGTAACACGTTACTAGTATATAACAAATACTGTATTGAGTTGAGCACGAAGCTCCTATCTAAGGAAATACTATCTACTTATATAGTGGCGTCGTGCCTAGTGGACTCTTGGGAACTCACTCGAGTCCTCGGAGTCCTGGACTCTTAGGACTCTTCTCATCATCCTGCGAGTCCATCACGTGCCTAGTGGACTCCTGGGAACTCACTCGAGTCCTCGGAGTCCTGGACTCTTAGGACTCTTCTCATCATCCTGCGAGTCCGTCACATGATACTTTCGGAACTACTATTCCCCGCTGCCCCTCCAGGTACCAGGGCCGGTCTCATGCGACCTCCCTCCTTCCTGTCCTGTAGTTGGCCAGCCTTCTTGTTCCGTCGTAACACTCGCTCCCTTCCCCTGGGCATTCGTCTCGAATCCTATAAGTACGTCCATGTCCCCGGGACTCTGCTGCTCCTCAGCGAGTCCTTCAACATGCAACATGCCTACTGACACTGCCCGCAAACTCCAGGAACGCAACGATCTTGTCCGTCGAATAAAGAACCACGGATACGAACTACCCGAAATGGATTCTTGCTCGAACTGCGTGAGGCGAAACATTACTTGCGTGTCGTCTCCAAATGATTCACGGCGGTGCGCCGAGTGCGTTCGTCGCAACTTGAAAGAAAAGTGTGACTGTATGGGTCCTGAGCATCCCGACTGGGTGAAGCTCGAACGGGAGGAGGATCGCCTGGATCACGAAGAGGAAGAAACCCTTTCGAAGTTACTTCGTCTGCGGAAGCAGAAACGCCTCATCCGAACCCGTGGTAAAGATATGCTCCGGCGAGGTTTGAAAACCCTCGACGAGCTTGATGCGGCAGAGGAGGCCGAACGTGTGGCTGCTGAGAAGCGTGATGCTGTTGAGGCCGAGGAACAGGCAGTTAGCGCTGCCTCCTCGTCTGTGACCGGGACCCCCGCTTCCTCCGATCCACTGGCCTACTCCCCTGCATCTTGGGATCAATGGCTGGCGGATGGCGGCGTCGATATTCCTCCAGCAGTTCTTTGCTGATGTTCCTTGTTGGTTCCCACGAATTATCCGTAGGTTCGTAATTTTCCCATTTTATCAAAAACTCTTCTCGACGTCCTACTAACCTTCTGTCTAGGATCGCTTCGACCTCATATTCGATTATCTCATTCTCGGGTTGGAGTTCGGTGTCGGTCGCAATTGGGGTATTTCCTCTTGCTGGTTCCAGTAGTGAGACATGAAATACCGGGTGTAGTCTAGACTTCCTGGGTAGCTGCAGTCTGTAATTAACTGAGCTGACTTTGTTCAATATTTTGAATGGTCCCAATTTCTTGAAGTCCAACTTTGTGCTTGGTCGTTTCGTTTTGATATGTTTCCGGAGTAGGTATACTTTATCCCCCTCCTTGAAGGCAGGTTCCATACTGCGCTTCTTGTTTGCGTATGCGGCGGATCGTTCATTTAAGAATTGGATGTCCGTCGCAAGTTGTTCGTGGAACGATTTCAGTTGTTCCACCACGATCAGGGCTTGTTCAGCTCGTGATTCATCCGGTCTTGGTTGCCTATATGCTTCTGGCTGGTAGCCATAATTGGCAAAGAACGGTGAGACTTTCGTTGCTTCTGTCATCGCGCTGTTATATGCAAACTGTGCGATGGGTAAGATCTGAACCCAGTTGTCCTGTTGATGATTGACATAGCTTCGCAGGTACTGTTCAAGGGTCTGATTTAATCTTTCTGTTTGGCCGTCTGTCTGGGGATGAAAAGCTGTTGATAGCTTATGATTTGTTCCCAGTAGCGCCATCAATGATTTCCAGAATTTCGAAGTAAAGAGCTTGTCTCTATCTGAGATGATTTCTTCTGGCATCCCATGATCGGCTAATATGACTCGAATGAAGGTATATGCGAGCGCCTCGGCGTCGCTAGCTTCTAGATATGGTATAAACTTCCCATATTTCGTGAGTCTTTCCGTGATGACGAGGATAGAGTCGTATTCTATTCCTGTTAACGGGTCCTTGGAGGGTGGAAGCTTGACGATGAAGTCCAAAGCTATTGATTTCCACGCTCCTTTTGGTACTGGTGTCGACTTGAGTTGTCCGTATGGCAGATGCCTATTGGATTTTGACTTGCTGCAAATGTCGCACTCTCTTACCACTGTCTCTACCTGCTTCCTCATACCTGGGAAGTAGTAGTGTCGGGTGATTCGTTCGAAGGTTCGTGTTACTCCCTGATGACCGTGTGCTGGTAACGAGTGTTGTTCTTGCACCAGCGGGCGTCTCATTTGACTTGGGACATACACTAACCCTTTGTATCGAATCAATCCTTGTTCGTCGATGGTGAAGTCGCCTTCGACTTTGGACAAGACTCGCTTGGCGCATTCGTCTGTTGCGTAAGCTTTCTTGAGTCTTTCCTCGAGTTCTGTATCTTCGATGACTGAGATCGTCGCTAGTAACTCGTTGTACTGTATTCCTGCATCTGTTTTCTTCAGAATTGCTCTAGGTCTTTCTTCCTTTGGGCCGGCGTAGTCGGTCCGTCTGCTGAGAGCATCTGCTCTTGCATTCTCAGAGCCCTTGCGATAGGTTATCGTGAAGTTGTAGGCTGCGAGGGTTTCTGCCCAGCGGACTTGTCTGCGGTTTAAAACCTTGGTCGTGGTGAAGTATATGAGGTTCTTGTGATCCGTCCATACCTGCACAGGGTAGGTGGATCCCTCAAGATATACTCGCCACTGCTCAAAGGCAACGACAATAGCCAGTAGCTCCTTGTCGTGGATGTCGTAATTAAGTTCCGCGGGTGACAGTTTCCTAGAGTAGTACGCGATTGGTTTGAACTTACCGTTCTCGTCTGGTTGATTCAGACATGCTCCAATTGCGAAGTCAGAAGAGTCCGTTTCGAGGATGATCTTCTTTGCAGGGTCAAATGTAGCAAGGATAGGTGCTTCCGTGAACTTCGTCTTAAGTTCCTGGAAAGCAGCCTCTGCCTTGTCCGTCCATTTGAATTCGAGATCCTTTCTGGTAAGCTCCGTGAGTGGTTGAGCTACCTTGGAATATCCCGAGATGAATCTTCGGTAGAAGTTGGCGAAGCCTAGGAAGGCTTGCACTTCCTTGACCGTGGTCGGTGTTGGCCATTCCAACACTGCCGTTACTTTTGCTTGGTCCATCTTGATGCCGTGCGTTCCAATAATGTAACCCAAGAATTCGACTTGGTTTTTATGGAACTCGCACTTCTCTGGTTTGAGGAGTAAGCTGTACTCCTTTAGTTTCTTCAGGACGAGTTTGACATGCTTGACATGCTCCTCCTTGGTTGCTGAATACACCAGGACGTCGTCTAGGTAGACAATGGTAAAGATGTCTAAGTATTCGTGCAAAGCATCATTCATCAGTCGTTGCATAGATGCGGGTGCGTTTGTTAGCCCAAAGGGCATGACTTGATACTCGAATAGGCCATAGCGGGTGCGGAATGCTGTTTTCCACTCTTCCCCAGCCTTGATTCGGATCAGGTTGTATGCTCCTCGCAGATCTAGCTTACTGAAGATCTTTGCTCCTTGAAATCTATCGTGTAGTTCGTTGATTAACGGCAGGGCATACCTGTCCTTGATTGTGATGTTGTTCAACGCTCGATAGTCCACACATAACCGTAGGGAGCCGTCTTTCTTTGGTACGAAAAGCACCGGACTTCCTGCTGGTGATGTGGATGGTCTGATGAATCCTTTCGCTAGGTTATCATCGATGTACTCCTTAAGTACCTTCAGCTCCTTTTCCGATAGCTGATATATTGGTCCGAACGGTGGACTCTTGTCTTTCTCCAAAGGTATCTCGTGATCCCATGGTTGGTGCTTAGGAAGCGCCTCATTCTTAGGGCCTTCCTGGAATAATTGCTCGTATTCCTTGTACTCCACCGGTATACTCATCGGTGAGGATGCCTGGGCTAGGTCATCGAGCTCGGAGGTTGCACATAACTCCTTCCGGCCCTGGGAGGGTTTCTCCCGTTGTCGCGTGTCCGTCCGTTGTTCACACGCGCACTGGCTCATCACAACTTTCTCGTTCCACCAGTCGATCTGGGGGTTGTGTTTCTTGAGCCATGGCATACCAAGGATGCACGCATGGTTGTCCATGTGCACGATGTCAAACTGAATCGTTTCCTTGTGCCCGTGTAGCATGACCATTTCCAATGGGACCGTTTCGTGGGTCACCATTCCTTCATTAGTCGAGATGGGCTCTCCATCTACGACCATTAACGGGTATGGTTCGGTTTTCAATTGCGTCTTGAAACCTTGCGTGTCTGCTACTTTCTTTGTCATAAAGTTGCCCGTCGCTCCTGAGTCAATCATTGCTCGGAGGTGTCGCTGTTGTATCTTAGCGACCACATATAGTTGCATGCTGCCCGTCGTGGCGCATAGCTGGTCTGTACTAGGCCTCTTCATGTCGCTCGCCGGTGGCCTACCGTCGAGGGCTCCTAGTTTTTTGACTCGTCCGAGGAAGGATAGTATTCATCCGCTTCCAATGGTGGTCCTTGGGGAGATCGTTTCCCTCGCTCTTCTGCTTCGTCTAGCAGATGTGGGTATTTCTCGTATACCTGTTCGCTTTTGATAGGCAAGTCCCCTTCAGACTGGCTTCGCCTGAGGGCGTGAACTTGCTCTGCGTCTCTGAAGTGTATCCTGGGCGAGGATCGGGGAAACAACTGATTCTGGTGTTTCTTTTTCCAGTGGAGCTTGCAGTCATCTTCGCTGCAATACTCCCAGTAGACATACGCGTGCCAGGGATGATCAGTCTCTGTTGCGTCTGTCGTTGATAGTTCCCGCTGTCCTCTCACCCATGCACTATCTTCCCTCGGAGGCGTGGAGAACATGTCTGGTTGCTCCATGGCTCTCCTTTCGATGCGTGGAGTGGGTCTCGCATTTTCCCGTCGGAGCATATCTCTGGCTTTCTCGTCGTACTTCTTCAGGGCTCTCCTGCGGTCCTGGTA